ACTCTTGATAACATCTGGCCAGCTAAATTAGGTGAGATTGAATAAAACACAATGCTTGGTAACAACAAACTTTCCTGTTTATTAAGAGATAAACACAAACTGGACAAAATTATGAATAGCAATCTGAAATTGCACACTGAGCAGTAAAACCGTAAAAAGTTAAAGGTGCAAGTATTACTGTAAGTTTCAATAGAAATGCAAAACAGGGGAACACTGGCGCAAAATAGTGGAATGGATCGTTTCAATCGGTGAAACTGGAAAATACGGACTGGATTTTTTTTTTAAAAACTGGATGGGCAGTCTGGATCGGCATTTTACATGCTTTGCCGATACGTGGATCGGATCGGGACAAGCCTACTTTGAATGCTCACTCATGCTGTGCCGCTATATTGGGCTGTAAAAACATTTTTGTGTTGTCACTAAACAATCTTCTCTTTTCAATATTGATATTTATCTAATTATTTTTATTCTTGAAACACTTCAAGTTATAGATTTGTTTACTTATACTGTTGGTAATTTCTTATCTTACTTTTCCAGGTCTATTGTTGTGGATTTTTTCAATTATGAAGGAGTGAGACATTAGCCCCATTTATACTATCCTTTTGAATCCGTGCCGAGATCGGACTGAGCACGGTAACCCAGATAATGTTAAGTGTAAATGGCACGCACAACTGAACCAGACTGGGCCAGACTCAACCGAACCACGCTAAACTAGTTCTAGTTCTTGCTCGGTTCTTAGATAACAAAGAGCGTATGAGCAGACTGCGTCATCTCCTCAGAGTCAGCCTCAGTAATCATGAAATTTCAGACATTGATAAAAAAATAATATCTTCCATACCGTGGCAGGATTTCCAGTGATGATTCTGCTTAGCAGTCTGATGAACCTCAATGTCTGTTATTGTTTCCTGCTTCTGTAAGCCCTGGTTAGACTATCGTTTGTCGTATCTACTTCCCAAAAGCCGAATCTGTTAAGTAAATTCACAAAAGGCGACCTTCTTCGCCAGACTCTCCGCAAAGAGACTCTCCCAAACTTTCAGAATGTTACAGGGGCCACAATGTTGCTTTGCTTGTTTACTTCAAGAGAGCAGTAGTACCGTAGGTCGTCACTAGGAGGCGAGGAACCGTGCTAGCGTGATGTGTAAATGGTTGTAAGGAACCAAATACTGTTAACTGATCCAAGCTCGGTCTGAACTCGGCACAGATTGGTTTTCAGAAGGTAATGTAAATGTGGCTCTTTTTTCACAAAAAAAAGAAAAGATCGATCTTTTATTTTTATATGTTTATTAAAACGTATTAAAACTATTGAAGGCCCATGTTCTTAGAGTCAATGAAAATGTTCCCTGAGCTGAGGGCTGATAAGGGTGGGGGACATGGGCAAAAAAAAAGGTGTGGGTACAATCAACAGATGCAAGTAGTCATCCCAGACTTTTAGGAGCCTTGAGCAAGATGAATAAACTGATGTGCAAGACGTGCAGATAAACTGATGTCTGCAAAACCCACAGAAAAAAAAAAATCAGTGTTGGAAAAGAGAGTCATGATTATTATTTTATGTGTGTATCTTCTGTCTCTTCTCAGCTAACAGTTAGTTACAGCACACCAATGTCCATACCCACCTGGGTTCTACTGTAGGTTTTGCATTCCAGGGTCAACACATTCTCAGTAATCAGGATTGCAAAGATGTTGTTTATGCAGTTGGGCTGTTTTTTTAACCAAAGTCTATTATGTCCTGCATTGTTCTTCAAAGTGTTTTTAAGCATTTAACATAAGTTCTAATAAAACCATGAAATATGGTTGTTATATTAATACTATATATATGTAACAAAAGCCTAAAGATTGAACATTAAGAGCCTGACCTACAGAAGCTTTTCCTTGTGTTAAAACCAGTGCTGGGAATAAAGTGTTATCAAGGCGTTATAGTTACTACGTTGCCTTTTCAGTAATTACAACGGTAACTCATTATTTGTCAAACATCAGTAGCACATTAGTCATTACTACGCTTTCAACATGTTTGTTATTTGTTACTTACTGTGTGTGAATGACGACTATAGTTTTCTGGTGTACGCGCAGGTGTCAGCAACGCAATAGCTTTGAGCAACTTTAGCATGAACACAGAGGAGAGACAATGGTGCTGAGCAAGTGATTCAATGACAGCATTCCTACAGAAAAAGTGTTTGCTGAAGGCTAATTTATCCTATAATTTGCTCATTATGTGTGGGAACAAAGACTTATTTAAATGCTGTTATTTAAAGAAGCTTCGTACATCTTCTAAACACAGCTGCTGCCTTTAATAAAGACTTCTTTACGATGTCAGGGCTTAACTATTTTAATTGCATGTTTTTTTTTCTTATGCAAAAATCATACAGTCCTGCTATATTTTTATTTTTTTTTTTTGAAACAGTGTAACCCCTGTTTAATTCTATGGTAAAGTATATATTGTATTTATGTTAAATTGCTTAACAATCTTTATTTTTCAGCTTTATACCTATTTTATAGCCAATTGAAAGCCCTCAATGCGAGAACAAATAAATGCCCAAACATCTTTTTCTTTTATTATACCAAGAAATGTGATCTGTCATATTGCAACTCATTTGTCCAACTACACACATCAAAGTAGTGCAGTTTAGTTTCAATATTTATCAGATGTTTAGACCTTTTAATAATTTCATTTGTTAATTACACCTTATATTCCATAAATGAATGAAAATTCCATTTAGAGGAAAGTTTTCCAAATTTTTCGACACTTTAGATTTAAAAAAGTAACTGCATAGTTACTTCTGCTAGTAACGAGTCACTTTCGTGAGCAAAAACTGGGTTAGTAACCCAGTTACTTTTTTTGGGACAATAACTAGTAACTATAACTAGATACTATTTTTTAAGTGCTTGCCCAAAACTACTTAAAACTGGTGCAAACGTGCTTTTATGTGCAGAATGGATCTTCAAAGAATTGCAATAGACTACAAGCTGCACTATAAATATTATTTAGCATATTTTTTTAATATAGCCTTAATACCAATGGCTTTAAACCTCATCTTTCATTTACGGCCACTCAAACCAGAAATCTGCCCATTTTATGGGCTGAACCAAATCGGTCAGCATCTTTGTAGATCATCTGCAACCCATGTTTTTATTATTCATGTATTTGCTTCTGTGATACCTGCCTGTTAAGTGTGAAGGCTAATGTTTTTCCGAGCAGTTTAACCAGGACAGTTCTTCTGTCAGGATGAAAAATAATCATCTTCATTTTGTACTTTGCAAAGACTTTGGCAATTAAATGGGAGCACTGTCCTTGATCTAAAAACACTGTTTAATCTTGACATGGCTGGAACCAGTGATGGCTCCTCGTTTACAAACATTATGTATATGATGTAATGATGTGATGATATGGCAGGGTGTGAACCTGGAGATCTATAAAATGCTTCTGTTAAGCATTTTTCAGGGCTGCTGCTAACTTTCAGACGAAGGGAGCCCAATGGAAGCCCTACCATTGTATATGTGTTTGTGAGAGAAAGAAAAGGGCCCTTCGTCATTCAGCTTGTTTACTTCTGTTTATGTGGGAGCACAGTGCTCAGTGGCATGGCAGCACCAGACAATGTACTTGTGCCTCTGTTGTTCAGAGAGTATTCTGCTAAAGCTATAAAAATAAAGCACTTTGTGTCTAAAAACAAACAGCAGTGTGTATATATTGGGGGTCATGCTTTACTACACACAGGAACAGGCTGGGTTTTGAATGGGATAATTGCGAGCTGGGATTGTTTGTGTGAATTTAAAAAAATCAGACTGTGCAGGACTCTGGTGTAAATGATGATAAAAACAGAGTAGGACTGGTCAACGTCAAGGCGCTGTGTGCGTTTAAATGATGACCTGTGTACAGAAGTAACTATAAATGTCTAAATAATAATATGAATAAATATACATAAATGTTTTATATACATAAGGTACATAAAGCTCTTTTATTAGCTTTATATATTCACCTTTATTTTAAATTTTTTTTTTAGAATATAATTCTAAACTTAATCTTTTAATTATTTTTTTAACACAATATTTTTGTCTATTTTATTTTTCCTTTGTACCATCTGACAAAATGTGTTTTAATTAGCTGCACACATTGGCACAGATGTTCAGCTGTATGCCAAAATTATACTTAATTCCTGAAAGAAACAGCATAAAGTTTGTGCTTTTAGTAAGGAGAGCAAATTTCGTCTCAAGTCTCATTTGCAGTCAAATTAAATAAATTAGTGTTGACAAAGAAAAAAAAAATGTCTTGTTACCTCGTCATTCAGTTAGTGGTTTACAAGAGAAAATGTCACTCATGTTCTCTAGTTAATTATTAGGGGAGACTTGATGGTTGTCACAGGTTTTGGTTGTCACTATCATGATATCTAAGCCAATGAAGGGTGCTATTAAAAGAAATTGGACAATGACATTCAAAAACTAGGTCAAATTTTCAGTGGGAAAGGCAATCAGCTTTAGGGTGGGAGG